TGAACTGAAGAGGGGTGGGGAGATCATCTGGTCCGATATCCTGCATCATTCATATAATTACTCCTCTGCTGAGCCCAATCACTTCTGAGTGAGCATCCCTTCCAGAGGGAACCTGGTCTTGATCTGAAGACAAGATGTCAAGAATCCATCACTTCCTGTGGGAGTTTAACCATGGGAACAATTACGCACTGTCGATCCCTGTCACACCTATTTCCACGAGGTTAAAATGCCCCTTATTACCCACTATTGTCTTTGATTGAAGGTTACTTAGTTACCAGAATCAAGCAACCTCACTCATCTTTGTGGCAAGTTAAATATCTCTTTAAGCCTCTCACTGTACAGCGTTTTCTTTAGCTCTCAAATTACTTCTGTGGCTCTTCCTCACTCTTACGTTCTATTTCTGGGTGTACTTCCCAGGGTTGCGTTAGACCTTTTAGCGTGGGAGCTCACGTTCAGTTGCTTACTCTGGCCACATGCTTTTCTGTTACTGCCTTTCAGGATACTCACTCTGTAGATATGGCCAGCATTTTGTTCCAAGATGGGCAACTTTGGTTTCAGTTGTATACCACATTTTGTTCGAATGCGATCAGCTTACCCCATGATCGAGTCTGTTCTGTATGACTGCTCTGCCTGCATCGTTATTTCTCATTTGACAAGTCTGTCTCAGATTGCCAATCAGAAGGGAGCACTCTGTCTCACCTGACACATAAGGCCAGAACATCACTCCTGGAGAAACAGCCAAACTTGATTTAGAAATAATCACTGGTGGAGAATCCATTACTAATAATTCAGTATTAGACCTTATTTCTAAAATTAATTTGTTTGGCCTCAGCTTCCATCCGTTGACCCTCATGATAGCTTTGTTTGCTAGATGAAGAGCCCATTAGCCAGTATTTGTTCTCTGTGTAGGTACTTACAGATTGTGTTCAATTCAACCCTGAACTGTTTCCTTGTTAAACTAGGTAGATTGACCTGCTGGAGCCAACCACCACAAGGCTTCTTTTATAAACAAAATTCTTTTAGCTCATCTATTAACCCTCTAATTAATCAGCACCCTTCTTGAACGATGGACCCCAGAACAGGGTCCCAGCAGCAGTTACACCAATTCCAAGTACAGAGGTTAAATAACCTCTCTGCTCCTGTTTCCTAGTGTCCTTGACTATCAAAGATTAGTAAGTGAATAGCTTTTTGGTGATAGATGTGACAAGCTTTCAAGCTACAAAGAAGCCTCTTCCCAGGCGGAACAAGTAACCAGAGAGTTGCAGCTACATATAGGGTGGGACAGATCTTTACACAGAAGCACATGTTGCAAGAAACCACTTAAAATGAAGTGGGCAATTAACAGGTCTGCAGTCACTGGACAAAGGAGGGTTGGTAGATTGCCAATTGTTGTCATGAGCCATAAAACCAGCGTCTCTGAGCATGTGATTTTGAGTGGCTATCAAAATTATGAACCTAAGTTCTCATCTTTGGAAGTGCTGCATGGGTTACTTTTGAGGATGAGGCCTTGTAGGTCAGTACATGGAGTGAGGGCTTTGCGAAATGGGGTATTTGTCTCTTTTTGGTGAGTTCATTTCAGACTGCAGCGACTGTCTGGTTTTAGCCAGACAGTAGCCATGGGAGCATCTGATGCACTAGATGAAGTATGCCGTGCATTGTGTTAAGAATGTGCAGGATCCATGGATGCCGGAAGGTGTGTAGTGGTTTTTGATCAGCGTGACAGTAGAGGTATTTGCAAACTCCCCATAGAGTAGGGCATACCAATTCCAAGTGGCACCAGATGCTGCTGGAACATCACATGCAGAATCTGTGTGTCTGCTGTCGTGATGATCCAAACCCCTCCACAACACACCTTTCGTAACCCACAGGTCCGACAGCCTCTCTCAACACGTGCTGCACCTCAGCCAGTACAAACACAATCAGTAACCTGCACACAGCCACCAAAAAAACCTGGGACACTCCTAAACATTAAAAACCAAAGGTCAACATGGCTCCTTACAAGGAGTAATGTACTAACCCTAATCTAATCCCCTTTGTCTCACTGATTCCCTTTATGGATTCAAGAATCACATTAGTTCTTTTGGCCACAGCTTCACACTGGGAGCTTGTGTTCAGCTGATTCTCCCCCATCCCCGCAGAGTCCTTGCTTCCCAGGATAGTGTGTGTCAGCCTATAATTATGGCCTGCATTCTTTGCTCCTAGAGGGGTATGTTTAGTTGGACACATTAAATTGCGTATCGTTTGCTTGCACCCAGCAGACCAAGCAATCCAGATTACACTCTCAGTGACCAGTCCTCTGCATGACTTACCAGTCCCCCAAGCTTTATGTCATTGGACCATTTTATGTCTACTTCCAGAAATCGCTGAACACACATCTGGCTCCATGATTCCGCACTGACAACTACTTTTAGAGATCAGTGAGATTTTAATGCAGTGTTTTCAAACTGCTTTTGCATACCCCTACCGGCAGACAAACCCTCAACAGGGGGGGTATGTTAGGAAAACCCTGTCATGACAGAGCAGCTGCCACAGGCCCTGGCCAACAGTCACCATTCTCCAACCACTCACCTTCTAAAAGTGGCACCACCAGCAGAACAGAGTCAGAGCTGTGCAGCTGGACAGCAGCAACTGCTGGCCAGGGGATTTGGATTTGTGCCAAGAGAGGAGGACTTTTTTTTTTTTTTAAATCCTGCCCTGCAGTACCCACTCCCACCTGCTCCTCCATTGTTTCTTAAATATTTATCTCACTCCCACTACGACAGCAGCAGGTCCTGCAGAATGCTAGTCCCACGGAAGGGCTGGACATTCTGCTCTCAGTAGATGTCTCCCCAACAGCACGCCCAGTTTGCCCATGTGGAGGGATCAGAGTCCTCATGCACTTTTCCAGAGGGTGAGCAGCACCTGCCTCTCCCCTTCTCCATGGAAAGGGATTCGAAACCTTTAATCCTCCATGCAAATAACTGAAAAGCCCCTGAATTGTCATGCAAAGAGGACGGGAAGCTCCTATGCCCAGCCATCCCCAGGCAGGGAGGACCCTCATTGCTACCGGACGCCTGCACTGCTGCTGACAGCTGTGCTGCCCTCAGAGACGAGCCCTGAAGCAGGACAGGGCTGCCATAACAGCGGGAGCAGGAGAAAAATTCAAGCAGCAAAGTATTATGGGGCATGACTGACTTAAAAAAAATCCTCCTCCTGTGCCACGAACACAACATTCACTTTCTTCCCGTCTTTTGGGCTATCCCCAGTGTTCCAAGATTTATTTAAAATTGGCCTAGCATGTCAGCACTCTCCTCAGCCAACTCTTTCAGGGCTTTTAGGCCTGCTGACTTACCACTCCACTAATTTGTGTGTCCTCTCTAAACATTACTAGCATCACTGAGACACGTATTAAACAGCACTGGGCCAAAGCAGATCCCTCAAGGGCATCACTAGAAACACCCTCATTTACAGTGACATTTTCAGATTCATCAGTTAGCCAATTTTTGGTCCATTTAATATGTTACTATCCATCATGTGCTGCACTGATTTAGAACAGTGATAGTTCTGATTAAAAATTAAGTCAAAAACTATACAGATGTCTGTCATTCAAACTTGTAATCTTATAAAACCATTATTTGGTTGATCTGAAGACCTGTTTTCCATGAGTCATGTTGATTGGTATTAGACAGCCATTCATAAGTCAGACCTGCTTTACCCCCTGCTTGTCTCCTGATAGTTCCAAGATGCCCTAAAAGAGAACCCTCTGAAATACTCTCTCGGGTTCCTGAATCCAGCAGAGGAAGAACAAGCTCTAATGGTTGGTTGCAGAAGCAATACAAATTCAAACAGGAAACGAGGTGCCAATGTTTAACAGTCGGAGTAATTAAGTACTGGAAAAACTCCCCTAGGATGTGAAAAGTTTGCTCATTTCTTTCAGTTAAATCTGTTACCCTCCATTATCTTTCTAGTTTACCTCAGGCGCTACGGCTCACGTTCTGCAAGTCAGCCAGATAGGACCATCTGACCTCTGAATCGATGACCCTTAAATCAGTAGAAGCGTGAGATTAACTCCCTGCCTCACACAACTACTTAGACCAAAGCCAACTCTAGAAGACATGCATGCACTGGCTTTTAAATTTCTGCTCTCTGTCCAGGCAGCTCCTAAGTGGTGTCCTTTCACTTTAGGGGGAGATGCCTCATTACAGAGCCCGTGAAAAGAACCCAGCCGAGAGCAGAGGAGAGACAGATTTCTAGTCTAATTTACCACATGTGCATTGGGGGCTGCATGTACAAGGCCTTCATACAACACTACCATTCAGAACATGGAGCCAGTCTGTGAAGCATCCGAGATGTACTGCTTCTCATACCCCTTACCTTCGGGAGCAGTGTGCATAAGGTGCCCTTGTCACAATGTCGCTGGACGAGCTCTGTCGCCCTAGTAGGAGAGCAGCCTGCAAACCAACTTGCTCTGAACCACACCAGGTCACAAGGATCCAGACTGTACGTCTGAAACCCAGCAGACTTGTTTCTGGTCTCTGGCCTGGCTTCACAAGTTTGGTATTTCCATTAACCTGAACTCAGCTGCCCTGCCCCCCAGCTCACTTTTCACAGGGAGAGCTGCAGCCAGAGAGCGCGTCTGTGCACATGCAAGGGCCTGAGCATTGGCAGACTGCAAGCAGCTGCTGTAGTGGCACTTAACCCATATCAGGCGCTTGGAGCCTGCTCTGGAAGGAGGTCCCACCTAGCACTACCCAAGCCACTATCCCATACTGGTAGTGTCAGAACAGGGCCCAAGGGCTCCATGCGGGTACTGTGCACACACTGAAGATGGTGCCTGCTCCATTCCAACAAGCAGTTGCTAACGAAAACAGCAGCTACTGCCCCAGAAAGGGGATTCTGACCTCTCACCTCTGGCCCTTGCTCTCAGAGGCTTGACAAGCTGTTGGCTGAGGCAGCTGCATCCATTCCAGATCAAAGCAAGGTGGTGCAGGCCTGTTTCACACACACTCATGCACACTAGCTTTTCTTCGCACTTTTATCCAAACTACATGTACATCACAGTAGAGAGCTGCGCCCACCCAGGAGCGTTCCTTACACACGGCTAAAAAACCAGATGGGCCGGAGAAGTCAGGGTAGAAGTCTCTCTCGGGCAGAGTTCATGCTGACAGGTCACCATTATCAAATCTCTCCTGGTCATACACCTCTGCCATCACCTTCCGGCCAGCAAACCAGCGCCCGTTCAGGGCCTGAATGGCTTTGTGAGTCTCCGAGGCCATAGAGAATTCAACAAAGATCTTGACAATGATCTCAGCGTCCTCCTCTTCGCCCTGCTTCTCCTGGTAGATGATGACCCTGTTCACTGCCCCAAACTTCCCACACTCTTCTGTCACTTCTCCCTCCAGATCATCATCAATGTCCTTTGGATCCACCATGTTGCGTAGCACCATCACAGTCGACTGCAGGAAGAGGAAGAAAAGAGAGAGAGGTGACTGAGGAGGTCCCAGGGAGGTACACACCACAGCAGCCATTGCAGTGCCAGGTCTGAGCAACAAAAGTGAACATTCCAGGGTGTCTGGACCCAGTTTGTAAGGCCACCAGGAACACACACTGCCCAAATTCAGTACAGCACAGGAATCAGCAACACAACTGCTTAGGCCACAAGCGTAACCAGGAATCACTGTTTGCTACTTGTTTGGTACCCTGAAAATATGCTGTTTTTCAGACTCTGTTCAAACCTTAGAGATGGAATTATCCAATTGATTTCCCTCATCCTACCTTCAACAACAGGACACATTTGAGTGGAAATCATTCTTCATGGAACTTACTGGCTGGTGTAAGTAGTTGGCCTGACAAGCCTAGCAACTGTAGGCCTCTTGCCAACAAGTCCATTTCCGGGGATACCCGCACTGTAAACTGTCATTTGATTCACTCTCCAGAGTTCTCCCAAGCCTTTATCCCTGTCATATCCCTCCTTTCTGCAACAGGACTCCAACAGCCATAGTGGCCTTCCACATGACCCCTCCTGGAAGCCTGTTCCTCTCCATTCATCCCACATCTCTGGCTCAGACCAGCAGCAGATTTAAAAACTGCTTTGCATGCATATGAAACCAGCACTCTGATCTCTGCAATTCACACCTTCTCACAGCCTCTCCCTAATGCAGCCAATGCAACATCAGTACCAGGCAAATTAGTTGAAACTATAGTAAAGAATAAAATTGTCTGACACGTGGATGAATATAATTTGTTGGGGGAAGTCAACACGGTTTCTGTAAAGGGAAATCCTGCTTTACTAATCTGATAAGAATTCTTTGAGGGGGTCAACAAACATGTGGAAAAGGGGGATCCAGTGGATATATACTGCAGTGGGGACAGAGTTCGGAGAGTGGGGACGGAAATAGGGACAGAGTTCTGTAGCTGGGGAGTGGGGCCCCA